TTTCCCACACTCTTAATTATCGTCGTTAGGGAACCGATCGAGCAGGGCCGTTGTCAGCCCGTTGCATAATCTCCGTCCTTCGTTCTTGCACGGACCATCGATGGTTTACATTCGAACGTAATGGTTTACGTTCGGACCCGGACTGGAAAAGTCGACGACCGAGTGTCAAGTTTCTGGCAATTAAATTCAATCTTCGCATGTTCCGTCGAACGCTATGGAAAAACTAACGTGTCTAGAGAAGGAAGACCGTAAACAATATGTTGAAGAAAGGATAAATGATCGTAAGAATTTTCAGTTATATTTTATCAGAAAGGTTTGACGTTCGAGGATTCAGCAGCTCAGAGTGAAATAGTCGAACAAATCTTAATCCTCTATCGCAAAATGTTCAATGGTTTGAAAAGCTAAGCAAAATTGCAAATTGTAAATAGATGTAATCGTGATATGAGTATACAGGGTGTCCCAAAATTATTATACAAGCGAGAAATGGGGGGTTCCTGAAGTGATATAAGTATACAGGGTGTCCCAAAATTATTGTACAAGCGAGAAATGGGGGGTTCCTGAAGTCATTTGAAGTAACTTTTCTCTTAGCGAGAAACCTTGTTACGGTTTCATAAAATTAAGTTCGATATATATATATATAAATCGAAGTTTTATAATTAAACTATTAAAAAAATTATTTATATATACAATTATATACATAATTAAATTAATAATAAAATTAACTTATATACAACATTCTATATATAATTAAATTAATAATAAAACTAATTTATATATAAAATTCTATATATAACAAAATTATGTATAAAATTTATATATAAATTTATATAATAAAATTCTTATATTCCCTATCGGGTTCTCAAATTGATTCAATCTTCTGTAACTGTCCTAATACTTTCTTGGGGGTGGGGGGTGGGGGGGGTATATATCAATCGTCGGTGGTTTTAACGTTAAATAGAGAAATAAACTTCTACCCTGTTATCAACAATATTTCAACACGAAAGTAAAGGTTTGCATACAATGAGTATAAAATGTCTGCCTCGCTTAGGAATTTATTAGCGCCGAACAAGTGCTAATCAACGTAGCTGTGAAATAAACCGTAGTGCAACGGGTTAACCAAGGAAAGTTACTGTAGTCCCCGTACTAACAACGAGGGAACGGTTCTTGAATCCCAGAAAGAACGGGTTAACCCGCGCGGAATGGGTCATTATTAAGTAGGAGTCACGGAATCTAATCCGCTGTCTGAGGCGGTGCACAACAAAAGAAATTGAAACGATAATTAATCACCCCTTCCGTTTCGTGTCAAACAATTGCAAATCGACGTCCCGGTCACAATACGTTATAAAGCATTCTTCACCCATTATTGTCTCACGTACAAAGCAATCTTGTTCTTTCATACCCACACACGCGCGCGCGCGCGCAACATTCGTGCTGTCTATAATTATCGAAAGTGTAACTTTCTATACATTAGTAATAAATTGTCTTTGTATTATTTAGAATTGATTCGTGGATAAATTTAATCGATTAGCACGCGGAGCAATTATAAACAAAAAGTTTATATTCTGCAGTCAAAAGTTACTTTAGCGAGAATTGTCGAGTTGCATTTCATTAGTTAGAAACGATTATTAAAAACGGAAACCGATTGCAATTATGGTTATAATCAGAGTCGGACGTTATTCGAATAACTTTTTATCTAGATAACTATTAGGATGAAATAAATAATTGAGTAATATTTGTTCGCGAACAAGTTACTATTGTCTTATTCGCGAATAGTTTGTCAAAGAAATAATTTATTTTCAAATAGTTCATTCTTGAATAGTTCATTCGCGAGTAAAATGTTATTCGTTTTTGCGAGTAAAAATAATTTATCTCTACGGCATTATATTAGGTCATTTCACGCGAAATCGGACACCTTAGATTTTTCAAGTATGTCTGAAAATAAATTTAAGTATGTTATGTTGTATATTTTATAATAAATTTAAGTGTGACGTAGTCTTTTTTATCGACATA